AGCTTAGCAAAGCACAGGGACCGCGGTTCAATCCCCCAGCACCACATGCCTGCCAGCCCCGCCCCCTGGTGGGCTGAGCTGGCCACACACACACAAAAATAAAATAAATAAATATTAAAAAAAATAAAAATGAAGAATTAAAAAAAGGAGGAAAAGGGAGGTTGAAGGGAGAGAGAAGATTGGCAAAAAGGAAAAAGCAAGATATGTCATGGACAGACACAAACTTCCTATGATGAGTGCTATCATGTTTATCTTAAATGTACCAATAAAATAAAAGTCAAAAAAAATTTACGGGCATGCTTTTGACCTACATAATAGGAAACTTTTACCTGTTTGTTATGTATCTTAATTCTTTTTTTCTTTCCCATTTCCATGTTTTCCTTTTAATCTTTTCCCTCCCCACTCCATTTACAAAACTTTGTTTCAGTTATTTTCCTTCCATTATTTATCCCAGTACTTTCTTCCTTTCCCCTCCTCTCTCGTTCCCCTTTGCATTTGAATGTTTTCATCCTCTTTTCTAGTATCTATCATTGTGTTTTTTTGTTGTTGTTGTTGTTGGAACCGGGGATTGAACTCCGGCCCTTGCACTTGCCAGGCAAGCGCTTATTCTAGTGAGCTATTTCTTCAGCCCCCATTGTGTTTTATATTACCCCACAGATTATTTATTTATTTATTCCCCACAGATTTTTTTTGAACTCATGATGTTTTAGTGCTTGCATTTTATTCTGGCATGTGAATATTTTTAAGTATTTGTTTACATTTCCAGCTTTTTCCTTTATAATGTAGTACAGTCAGCCTCTTTATATCAAATTCTTTATCTGTGTTTTTAGCTTTTCTTTAGGAGAAATTATCAAGTGGATTAAAAAGACTTTGTGTCTCTGTGCGATTCTGGGGATCAATTCCAGAGCTTTAGACAGGCTAGGCAAGCACTTTACTACTGAGGTATATCCCCCTATATTTTTTAAAAAGGGTTTTTTTATGCCTATCACCAGATTTATTTCTAAAAGGGTTATGTAATTCATATATTTTATTGACTGAAAATAGTTTTCAGAAATAACAAGAGTTACGACATTACTTGAAATTTGAGTGGAAAATGATAATGAACACTTTCTATGTCAGCTGCTCTACTAACCTGCTCTACATAGAATAACCCATGTGGGCTGGGGAGATAGCACAGCTGTCTCAGTACCTGCCTGGCAAGTGCAAGGGCCAGGATTTGACCCCCAGGACTGCATGCCACGCCGGCCCCAGAGCTGCAGGCAGTCCTGTGGCCCTGAAACCAGGCGTGGTGGCACATGCCTGTAATCCCAGCACTGAGGAGGTTGGGACAGGAGGATCACTACGAGTCTGAACTGCATAGTGAGACCCTGTATCCAATAAGTAAGTTTGAAAAAAAGAATAACTCATTCAGTTCTCCCCTTAACTGTATGGAGTAATTTTGTTATCTCCGCTTTGCACTCAGGCACTGAGAGATTTAATCCCTTGCTCAGAGCCACACATCTAGTCATGAAAGGCCGTGTGATTTGTTGCCAAGTGTCCCGGCCATTAGTTATCCCCGTCTCTGTGTCTATCTCTGTCTGTCTGTCCACCCCTCGCCCGCCTCAGTCTTTTAACTGCTATTTTTCTCTATATGTCTTGCCAGTCTTTTTTTACACGCTTGAACCCAGAGGTCATTGCAGGGATTGTAATTGGCAGGTGTCTTTAGATATATCCGGATCCCCATCTGACGTTACTGAGAGAAAGGAAAATTAATAATTAGAAAAGAACCCATTTTCAGCACACTAATGTAGACACTCTGTTTCATAGTGTAGTGGGCCTTTAATCCTCGGCTGGGAGTGTGGCTCAGTGGTGAAACGCATGGCCAGCACCCTGACTTCTTCCCCAGCACCACAAAAAAAGGAACAGGGACATATATAAGTTATTCATCCCTTCAAGTCGCCTGTCTAATGTAGTTGAAATTGGTTTGTTTTGATTGTATTGTTTTTGTAGTGCTAAGAATGGAGCCCAGGGCTTTGCACATGTTAGACAGGTGCTCTACAACTGAGCTATATCCCTAGACCCCAGAACTGCTTTTGGCTTAGTATCGTAAGGACACGAAAAAGGAAGAAGTTCTAGTTACCAGGAATAGCATGTCTTTTTGAAATTATACACAGTTATTGCCAAAGTTATTTGTAAAATGAAACAACTAAAGTATTTCTGGAAGTGATTAATTCTTCTATTGTAGATAATTTAAATATTTTCTTCTTAAAGCTGCTAGTACGAGTTGGCTTCAAGAGCATGTTGCAGATCTTAGTCGGAGGTAAGATGTTACGGAGTTTCATATGCGTTATTTTTAAAAATGTGGGAAGAAATGTATCTAATATGGGGACTTATTGCTGAGGTTACCATGTGAACTGGACAGATCAGGCTCTTATTCTTCCTGTCTCTAAGTTGAGCGAGCCTTGTTCTCAAATCCTTTTTACTTTCCTTAATAAGTGTACTGTAGCAAATGTGGTGCTGCACACCTGTAATCCCAGAAGGGAATCTGAGGCAGGAGGGTCCCTGCAAGTTCAAGCCCAGCCTGAAATGCATAATGAAACCCTGTCTCAAAACACAGTACATTATTTGGTACTAAAATACAAGTTATTTTTTAATACAAGTTATTTTTTACAAGGTTTTCATCAATATTATGTAAATTCTAATGACTACTTTGGGTTTCTTTTATAGCTTGTGTGGCATTATTCCAGGGCTTAGCAGTATCTTCCTGCCCCGAATGAATCCATTTGTTCTGATTGATCTTGCAGGAGCATTTGCTCTCTGTATTACGTACATGCTCATTGAAATTAAGTAAGTATTATTTATTGTCGTCATGTGTTTTTGTTCCTGGGGCCTGACTTTTAAGGGTATTGACAGGAAAGAATAAGTTCATTCTTCTAGCATTGTTGCTAATTACCTGTATACTAGTGGTCAAACCTGGTCCTCGGGTCATCTTCATCTAAAACATTAAGGGAGGTAGAGATTGCGTGTGAGTATTTCTTACCACCATCTGAAACACAGACTAGAAACTGTTGGCTGAGTGAGACAGAAGAGGACAGTAAGAAACACATATACGCTGCTGCAGCTGATATTACTGGGAGAGGGACAAGAGGAAATAGGAGGAGAGCAATTTCTTAAAAATTAAAGTCTCTTCGGAAATAGGCATCACACAGCTACTTAACCTTTTTCTTTTTGTGGCTGTCTCAGCCCACCCTGGGGGCAGGATTTGCATGGCATGTGGTGCTGGGGATTGAACAGTGGTCCCTGTACTTGTCTAAGCTTGCCTAAACATGTGCTTTAGTCTGCTGAGCTATCTTGCTGGCCCCAAGTATTCTACTTTTGATTCTCACTCATCTATAGGTCTGTTTTGTTACTAAGATAATCATTCAAAATCACAAATTGAGTTGTAATTTTTTTTTTCAAACTCCTCCTCTTTGCATATTGATAAAAACTGAAAAGCACAGAATCCTGTGAATCAGCCATCCATCTGTACAGTTTATGGTTTCATTGCTGCTGCAGGGTTTTCATTGTCTAGAACAGTGAGGGTGAACCTTTTAGAGCTTTTAGTAGTACAAACATCCCACTGCAGCCTGCATGCCACAGGTTCACCACACTGTTCTAGAATATCTTCCTCCCTTTACCTTGACTGTCTTTGAAGGCTGACCTCTTTATGCTTAGCCTTTCTGGATCTTTCTGGATTAACCCCAGACCAGTAGCCTTGTCACTCAGTCTTTTGTGTTTCCACAACACCCTTTAGAGATTTTTGTACTTTAATATCTGGAGTGCCTTTTTAAAAAAAAATTTAATTTAGGACAGGGTCTACAGGGTCTCACTATGTAGATTGGACTCGTAGTGATTCTCCTGTTTTCACCCTCCCAAAGGCTGGGATGACAGGTGGGAACCAGCATGCCCAATCTCAGTCGCTGTCTCAGAGCACCCCAGGGGTGGGGTCAGCATGGCACATGGGGATCAAATCTCAGCCACTATCCTCTGAAGCAGGTGCTTTAGTTCACTGAGCTATCTGCCCTCCCCCTTTTTCTTTTTCTTAATTTTTTTTTTTTTTTTGGTTTTTTTTTTTTTTTTTTTTTTTTTGTATTGGGAATCAAACTCAACCTCATGCTTGCCAGGGAGTTGCTGTGCAGCTGAGCTACGTCCCCAGCCCTTTGTTATTATTTCATATATTCCTGCTATTTCTAAGTCATAATCTATGTCTTACTCATGTTTCTCAGTAAATGGGAAAAAGTGAAAAGTGCAAGATCACAATCTGAAACAGACTAGAAACTGTTCAGATTCTATACTGCTGACTGACAGTATTGACACTTTGGTCTATCTTAGAAGTAGAACTTCAGAGTCTGCACTGTTGATGAAGTATTGTGGTTCTGCCTCAGTGGTGCTGTAACAACTTCCTGGAAAGTCACATTTGGGAGAATTTTTAAAGTCTTTATTGAAACAATTATTATGTATGGGACACTTAATAAAATCACTGATCAGTTCCATTACTCTCTTTTGTATCAGAAATTACTAGATCGAGTTTTCTTGTTTGTCTTAAGCAAATGGAAGGAAATCCTTCTAGGTAACAAGATTAAAGCATTCATAGTGAGGAAATGCTAATAGTTTTTCATCTTATCTCTTCATACTAATTAACATTACTATTTTTTCCCACAAACTTTTGGCAAGAAGGCATTCTAAAAATGTTTTGCTTTGTGCAGATCCCTACCTGTAGTGCAAATTTGTAATTAAAAAATAAATTTATTGGGCCGGCCAAGTAGCTCAGGGATTAAAGTGCCTGCAAGCAGGCGCAGGGACCCGGGGTTCCATCCCGGGCCGTCTGCTGTGCCAGCCCCGCCCCCTGGGTGCACTGAGACGGCAATTGAAACTGGGCATGGTGGCACGCACTTGTAATCCCAGCTCTTGGGAGGCTGTAAACAGGCAGATCACTACGAGTAGGATCTAGTAGTGAGACCCTGAACACCCTGTAGACCCTTCCCTAAAATAAAAAAAAAAAATTATCTTGCTTTAAAACATAATGTTCAGTAAATTTAATTGTAAGATGCCCACGAAACATCATTTGAAATTTAAAACTGTTTTCTCCTTTTAGTAATTATTTTGCGGTAGACACTGCTTCTGCGATTGCCATTGCCCTCATGACATTTGGCACTATGTATCCCATGAGTGTGTACAGTGGCAAAGTACTGCTCCAGGTAAGGGTCTTGGAATTCACGTGTTCAATGCTAGTCTTTTTCTCCTACCAAAGTGAAATGTTTTTTTCCTTCTACCAGGTTGTAAAATTTTAGCAAACTGGAGGACCTGTTAGAAAAGAAATTAGAGGGGGCCAGGGAGAAGGTTCAGTAGAATAAGCGCTTGCCTGGCAAGCACAAGGGTCTGAGTTCAATCCTGGGTTCTGCCAACTCCCCCCAAAAAAATAAAAAACAGAAAAGAAATTAGATATAGGCCAGGGAGGTAGCTCAGCGGTTTAAGCACCTGCCTGGCAATCACAAGTTCCTGAGTTCAATTTTGGTACAAAAAAACCCCCAGAAATAAAATCAAATAATAGTGTCTGAAGTTCATATAGCAAGAACTAAATAGAATTTCGTTGACTAATAGAGTAGGAACAGACTCTTCTGCGCTTCTCTAACATACAGTCTTTTTTTTTTTTTTTTTTTTTGGTGGTAACGGGAATCATGACCTCATGCTTGCTAGACAGGCACTGTGGCACCGAGCTATACCTCTAGCCTACAATCCTGAATTTAACTTATTTCCATCTAATGATATTTTAAGCAAAAACAATATTACTTAATTTTTTTTAGATATTTATTTCCCTCAAATCTTTGGCTGTTGAGGGCCAGCGAGGTAGCTTAGCAGACTTAAGTGCCTGCTTAGGCAAGTTCAGGGACTGGGGTTCAATCCCCAGTGTGGCATACCATGCTTGCCCTGCCCCCTGGGTACACTGAACCAGCCATTGAGACTGGGCATGGCGGCACATGTATGTAATCCCAGTACTGGGTAGGCTAAAAACAGGAGGATCACTATGAGTCCTGAGTTGCATTCTGGACCTTGAGCTTACCAGGCAGCTGCTTAAGCCACTGAGCTATCTCCCTGGCTATGCCCTGTACAAAATGTTTACTTTTTTGGCCTTTTCTTGAAGATTCTTGTTGGTTGGCTGGTTGATCTTTTAGATTGTATTTGGCTCTGGAGATAGAATCTTGTTTGTGAGATTTAAAAGAAGGAAACAAAAGCAGAGCCTGGTGGTGTCTATAGTGAGCCAGTTGAAATCTCCCTTCCTTAAATCCTGAGAGTGAACATGGCACAGGCGGTAGCTCGTTCAGAATCCATTTGTGGGGGATTCAAGACCATTGCTACAAGGTTTTTTCTTTCTTGGCTATTCATATTTTCTTTTCTTTTCCCCCAGACAACACCACCCCATGTTATCGGTCAGTTGGATAAACTTATCAGAGAGGTAAGGTGTAATAGTAAATAAAATGATTTTAACTTATGCTAAGAAAGTAAAAGTGTGGGGACATACAATACTTTCTTCAGTGCTACCCAGAATTTTATTCTAGGGGTGTTTTGTTCTTTATAACAACAGGATAAAAGATACAACATAGAAACAAAAGTAGATAGGGTGTGGTGGTGTGTGCCTATAATCCCAGCACCTGGGAGGCTGAAAACAGGATCACCTCAAGTCCAATCTATAGCAAGACTCTGTAGACCCTGTACTAAATAAAATACATTAAAAATAATAATAATAACATAGAAACAAAAATAGAAAAATTTGAGGAATTGCACAGTTTGAAAACCAAATTTGCTTGCAGGATAGAAAATGTAGAATTTTAATAAAAATCAAAATTCACTTTTACATATTTTACCACCTAACATCTCGTTCTATGGATTTAGACTTTTGTTATAAATTTTAACCTGTTAACTAATGAGAGAAAAAGATAATTGAATTAATTAAATATTGGGACTGTTCTAAACTCTTGGTTGTCAGTATCACAAAGACCACTTATCGCGCATAGCTGACAGCCTGTCTCCACTGTGAGGCCGGGCCCTGGAAGTGCCTCCTACACTGCAGTGCCCGCGCACAACACATGACTGCCCTGGGAGTATCCCAACAGGTCACCCAAATACTGTACTATTCTGTTGTACAGAGATTTTTTATAAGGGAATCCAGGGAAAGAAATGATTGGCAGAAAAAAAATTGATAATACATACTGATAGAATCAAACGAGGAGTCATGCACTGTTGGATGGTGGGGTAGGACATGTTTATGACTGAGCAGTTGTGACCTCATTCTAGAATGGTGGAGCTAGCATGGGTCACCGTTGACCAGAGTGGTGGCACCTGGAGTGTTGGAGATTTCTCCTTGTCTCCTATAAGTTTGGGCATATTATTTATAGATTTAAGTCCATAATGAAAAATTCTCATCACTTCTTTCTATGTTATTGTTTAGGTATCTACCTTGGATGGAGTTCTAGAAGTGCGAAATGAACATTTTTGGACTCTAGGTTTTGGTTCATTGGTATGTTTCTTGATGCATTACTTTCTATGTAATTTAAAACATAGTTGTTAATTTTAAAACAGAAAAAAAAAGTATTTCTTTAAAGCTTTTGTAGAGCCTTTGCTTCCCATTTCTGTCCAATTCATTCTAAAAGTTAGCTAGATGGTTTCACTTGCCTAATTGAGATTGATGGGGGGCCTGCCCCTTAGCTCAGTTCTTTAAGTGGCTGCTTCAACCAAGCAGTCAGGCTCAGGTTGCTGTGGTTCGATCCCTACAACTCAAGCCAGCCAAACCTGCCCTGAAGGCATTCGGAGCAAAGAAAAAAAGGAGAGAGATTGATGATTTTTTAAAATTTTATTTATTTTTCTGTATTTTAGGGAAGGGTCTACAGGGTGTTCAGAGTCTCACTACTAGATTGGACTCATAGTGATTCTCCTGTTTACAACCTCCCAAGTGCTGAGATTACAGGCCCATACCACTACACCCAGTCTCAATCGCCCTGTCAGCCCGCTCTGGGATCGAACCCCCAGGCCCTTGCTCCTGCTTGCAGGTGCTTTAATCCACTGAGGTATTTGGCCTGCCATGTGATTTTTTTTTTTTTAAATCTCATGTTGATATTCATAGTAGATAGCCCAGATAAGAAAAATCCATAGTCATAATTCCTAACTATGAAAATTTTACAAAAAAAAGTATAAGGAAGATCACAGAGTTCAAGGCCAGCCTGCACTACATAGTGAAAGCCTATCTCAAAAAAAAAAGTTGCAATAATTAAAAGTAGAAGTATGGATTTTCTTCCTAGCTACAGTTTGAATTTTGTAGATTTTTTCAAATATGTTAAATTGTTGCAATTATACAACTTGCTTCAATATAAAAATTCATATTTTCTAATCCAGTTTGAATTTCATTACCAGAAAAACTTTATTTTTTATTATTATTATTTTTTAATGTATTTATTTAGGACAAGGTCTGCAGGATCTCACTACACAGATCGGACTCATAGTGATCATCCTGTTTTTCAGCCTCCCAAGCGCTGAGATTACAGACACATGTCACCTTGCCCAGTCTCAAGGGGCAAGGCCAGCATGGCAGGCTGGGGATTGAACCCCTGGCCCCTCTGTCTGCCTAAGCAGGCACTTTAATTCTCTGAGCTATCTGGCAGGCCCTTAGGAAAACTTTAGTATGACAGACATGGCTCTGTACCTCTCAAGAGTGACAAGGGAAATACAGAAAAGTATACTCCTGCCCTAAACTTACAACACAACATCCCCATCATTTAGACAAAACTGCATAGGGCCAGCCAAATAGCTCAGCAGATTAAAGCTCCTGCAAGCAGGCGCAGGGGCCGGGGATTCGATCTCCTGGCCTGCCATGGTGGCACACACCTGTCATCCCAGCACTTGGGAGGCTGTAAACAAGAGGATCACTACAAGTCCAATCTAGTAGTGAGACCATGAACACCATGAAGACCCTTCCCTAAAAATAAAAAATAAAAAAGAGAGAGAGAAAATTGCACCTGTTTAGGCAGAGGCAGAGACCAGGGTTCCATCTCCCGGTGTGCTATGCTGACCCCACCCCCAGGGCACCCTGAGATGGCTATTGAGACTGGATGTGGTGGTGTGTGCCTCTAATCCCAGGCTTGGGAGGCTGAAAACAGAAGAATCACTATGAGTCAATCTATTTAATTCTCTGAGCTTGTAGACCCTGTACTAAATACCAGTAATAATAATCATCTCATCATCATCATCATCATCATCATCATCATCTAGAGAAAACTGCTGTTGAAATTTTAGTAGGTATAAACATTGATTATCCTTAAAGTTTTATAATGTGCTCTTTTCAATTGATATCTCCATTTCCTTGTGTCATTGAATATATTTCTATAATATCATGTTTTTAAAATCAAGTAAGGGGGCCGGGGAGATGACTCAGTGGAATAAGCGCTTCCCTGGCAAGCATAAGAACCTGAGTTCAATCCCCGGTTCCGCAAAAAATAAAATAAAATCAAGTAAGATTTCATTTTTTACCTTTTTTTACTTAGAAGATTTTATTTTATTTTAAGATTATTTATTTATTTATTGTGTGTGTGTGTGTGTGTGTGTGTGTGGCCAGTTCAGCCCACCAGGGGGCGGGGCTGGCTGGCATGTGGTGCTGGGGGATTGAACCGCGGTCCCTGTGCTTTGCTAAGCTTGTTCTAAGTAGGTGCTTTAGACCACTGAGCTAGCTCACCAGCCCCACTTAGCAGATTTTAGATATACATAATGAAGATATTCATTATATGAAATTTGTACCTGTAAATGATAAGTCTTCCTTCTTTTCTTCCCATTTCCATCCCCTCCCCTCAGCACCTCCTCCCCTGCTCATTAATTTTTTTTTTTTTTTTTTTAGAACCAGGGATTGAACTCAGGCCCTTGTGCTTGCCAGCAAGCGCTTATTCTACTGAGCTATCTCCCTGGCCCCTCATTTTTTAATCTATTCTCTCTCTCTCTTTTTTTAATGTATTTGGTACAAGGTCTCACTGTGCAACTTGGATTTATAGTGATTCTCCTGTTTCAGCCTCCCCGGCACTGGGATTATAGATGTGTGCCGCCACACCCAGTCTCAGTGGCTGTGGCTCAGCATGCCCAGGGATGGGGCCTGGTGAATCAGGTGATGCCAAGGATTGAACCCTAGTCCCCGCACTTGCCTCAGTAGATGCTTAGTCTGCTGAGCTATCACACCAACCCCATCTATTCTCTTTTGTACTTGTCACTTCTTTTCTTTCTCCTTCACCCCTCCCTTGTTCACCTCTTCATTTGAACATTCACTTCCCATTTCTCCATATGTGTTATGCATTTTGGTCCTTATTTGTACTTTCTCACATCAGAGAAGCAGTGCCATACTTAAATATTTCTCCAATGTATTTCGTTTGGGGGTATGGTTTCAAGGAGCATCCATTTAGCTACAGATATCTCAAGTTTATCTTTCTGTATGGCAGAGTATTACTCCATTGTGTTAAAAAAAAAATCTTTAGGGGCCGGGGAGATGGCTCAGTGGAATAAGCGCTTTCCTGGCAAGCGCAAGGGCCTGAGTTCAATTCCCTGGTTCAAAAAAAAAAAAATCTTTGTTCATCAGTTGATGGGCATTTGGGCAGATTCCAAGATTTAACTATTCCAAACTGTGCTACTGTACACATGGGTGTGCATATATTGGGGTGGTATGATGTTTTTACTTCTTTCAGGAAGACACCAAGAAGAGGAATAGCTGGGTCGGAGGTTGTCTTCTTTTATCATCACTAATAAATAGAAAGGATGGGATATTGCAAATGATTCAAAACTCAAAAGCCAGCTACACCTGGGAGGTATTTCTAAGAAGTAGTTATTTCCTAAGGGTTCTAAATATTAGCACTAAAGTTACTTGCCATAAGAAATTCAGGAGATCCAAGATGGCGGCCAGCAGGAGGCTGATGAAGGAGCTTGAAGAGATCCGCAAATGTGGAATGAAAAACTTCCGTAACATCCAGGTTGATGAAGCTAATTTATTGACTTGGCAAGGGCTTATTGTTCCTGACAACCCTCCATAT